CCAGCATTTGAAACTTGGAAGTAGCACTGAAAGACAGTTGTTTCGTCCTAATAGGAGACTCATCAACAGTGCGCACAAACAACTCCTGATACTTGCAGGATTCGAACCCACGACCTTAGGTGTTGTGAGCGAACGTCTTACCTCTGGTCGACTAGGCCAGAGACTAAAGGTGTTATTGTCTGACTCTAATCAATCTAGAGATTTTGCCTGACCTGATCCATATGTCTTTCATAGTGACTGCCTACACCTGACAAGGTTGAACTCAACTGATCACATCTTCTCACTAGAACTCCGAGAATTTCTTCACGAAGCTAGTCACTAGTTTGTATTAAATGTAAAAGATTTTCATCTGAAGCGTTTTTGTAACAACGTAAAATTGTTACTAATAAGATGATCGATATGAAGTGTTCACTTGATAAAGCTTATATGTGAAATATAAATCTGTGACATTATTGATCAGAAAAATTCTGATTAGCATGGAATTAGAGAGAAAGATAATCATGTAATCAGGAATTACGTAATAAATGCAATAATATAAATCAGATAAGAACTTCTATACGACGAGGTGATTGCTAAATAAATTTATACAGAAGTTTGTTAGCGTTATAAAAACCATAATATCCACAAACTCTACTTATGAGTATAGAGCCCAAAACGTTCGGTCTCATACTTTCATTGTGTCCAATTTTACAATTGATTTCATATAATTTATCAAATCCATTCATTACAGTTTTTTAATTGTCAATTTTTAACTAAAATATTATTTAATTTTGTAAGTTAATCATCAAGAAATTGTATGATGTCTTGATATTTTCTGCAAATATTTTTTTGAAAATTTATTAAATTACTTGAAAATAGTTTTTTCAGTTCAGTCAGTTAGTCAGTTGCAACGTAGAACTTCGTACGTATGTACATAAGTTCATGTTGCCATACCACATTAGCACAGAGACACAAATGTCAAATCAAATACCATAGTGATAAAGATAGTAGAGGTATTAATGGTAATGAAGAAGATTAGGGTTTGAAGATATTATTCAAGACGTATAATTCAGTGAGATAAGGTTAGAAAGATAAAGGTAGATGTGCTGACGAATCCAGAAGATTAGGATTTGAGAGAGCTCAAAGAGTGGATGCACTTGCGCCATTGCGAACGATTTTGAGCCATGTCATTCAAGGTCTCTAACCATCGTCTCGCGGACCGCAACCAAGTAGCCTACATCTACCAACGC